TAAGTCCCAAGTTTTTGTAAGACTAGAAGCTGGTGTTGTGTTCCCCCTCATCTCAGCTCCACTTAGCCTGGGTTACTCCTTGGGAGTCTCCTGCCTGCCACCTGGGACACAGAAACTATCTCCAGCCCCTTCCCCCTCATGAGGCTGACAGCTCAGCAGCCAAGTTCAAAAAGAATCCATCAGCTGCTGAACTGTTCAGGGCCTGCCCACGCACCCAGTGGCAAAAACACGGGCTGTCTGCCTCCTGGGTACGGTGTGTGTGCCTCGGGCCGGGGGCGGCTATGTCCTTTCACTCTCGGGTAAATGGCAGTTCCCTGACTTGTCTTAAAGCTGGGTATTGGGCACTGGAGAATCTGCTCCCCTGGGAAGCAGAGGGATAATTGTGCTACTGGACTGGGGCAGGTACATGCAGCCCAGAGATGGATGCCCTTTCTATACCCAACATCCCTGGGCACACATTACACACTCACCTTGTGGTACCCACACAGGGACTCACTGTGTAGTCCTGGCTGGCCTGGAATTCCCTATGTAGACTAGGAAGGCCTCAAGCTCACAGAGGTCCTCCTGCCTCTGCCTCCCAAGTGCTGGGATTTAAAGGCCATCATGAACAGCTCCTCCCTGGGCTTTCATTCATTCCACCAAGACTGCCTGAGTCCTCAGAGGGCCCTAGAGGCTGAGGCCGCAGTGAGGACAGAGACAAGCAGGGTTGCTACCCTCAGGGAATTCACCGTCCATTAGAGGCTGCTTAAGACCTGAGAGGCCTGTGAGAACTTCTTGGTTAGGGGTCTGAAGAATCACATGGCTGAACCTTCATGGATGGGGGTTGGTCTGCTCCACAGCAGTTCACTTCCTGTCCCAGCATGCTTTTCACCTGGAGCTTGCCCAGAATGTTTACCTCCCGGGCTCTGACTCCTGCCCTGAAATAACAGAAAAGTAAAATCATTAAAGAAATAAAAATGCTCTCTGCCGACTGTCCCATTTAGGGACTTCGAAAGAAGCCTGTCAGGTCTCTCTATCTCCCGGCCCCACCCCACCCCGTGCCTGTGCTGCTGGCCCAGGGCTGCTGTACTGCCTACCTGCCAAGTGGCTTCTCTGGGGGTGTGGAAACAGGAGAACTGCAGAGATGCTGAGCTCAGATTCCCCAGGATTCTCCAAGGTCAGTCCCATCGTATCCAGGGACAGTGACATCGGTCTGGTATATACGCAGTGACGACCGCAGGTAGGAACAGCATCTGCCCCTGGCCCAGCCATAACTGAGCTCCTCTGGGCTAGCTGTCACTAAAGCAGCCTGTGTTCAAGCCTGTGTCACAGAGTCCCCAGGATCCCAGCATCTCCCAGCATCCACCTCCACCACCACCCCAGTCATCTGACATGCACAAATTGGGCATGTAAAACTGTCACTATGGTGTGGTGACATTACCTGGGTTTCTCATATCATAGAACACAGGACAGGGAAATGGCCCCAGATTCTTAAACAGAGGGTTCTAGCCCAGATTTAGTGTACAGAGAAACTGAGAAATGTATGTGATAGGTGGGCGGAACTCCGGGGCTTTTTGTGTATGCGTGTTCATGTTTTTGTGTGCATATATGAATGGAGGCCAGAGGTCAACCTTAGGTGTCATTTCTTAGTACACCTCAGTTTTGAAGCAAGGTGTCTCATTGGCCTAGAACGTAGCAGTTCAGCTCAGCTGGCTGGCTGGCTGGCCCGTGGTATTCCTCCCTCAGCCGCCACAGTGAGAGCTCTCAGTGCACCACCTCACCTGGCCTTTTTAACCTTTAAATGGTTCTCTGTGATGTTCACGTCCTGTACCCCAATCCTACTCATCTTCCCGTCCCTTCACATTCTCCCTCTGCCCTTCCCCACAAAAGAAAACGGAGGTGTGTCCCCCGTGTCACACAGCACACCCTTTCGCCCACACACCTCTACGTACAAATGTTCACTGCAGCGAGTCATTGGTCTGGTTGGAGGCCTGTAGTTTCTGTTACCCTGTCAATACTGGATCCTCATGGGGACTCTTCTCATCATCCTGTTGTTGCCCTGCGGTGTGGAGATTCTGCAGATCCAAAGTTTCACACACTCCAGGAGTTCATGGGCAGGGTAGATGTTGGGGTGGGCCAACTCAAAGCCCTGGATCTGGGCCTGGGAGGTAGCTGAGATGGTCATCCCACCAGCTGTCCAGCACCCCCACCACGAGGGCCAGCTCTGCGGCATTGCCCTGGTAGCTCACCCAATGCAAAGCTGGCCAGGTCGCTTGGCTTTTTAACATGGCTTTGAGGCGCCAACTTAAGCCCCTGTGGCAAGCACTCTACAGACTGAACCGTGCCCCAAGTACCTTAGGCTCTCTCCTACCAAGGCTTTTAAAATCAGGGGTGTGTGCACTTGTTTTGTTTTGGGGTGCTAATCATTAAATGGCCAGAGAAGTAAGTTCTGGTTTTGATAGCATCAGCACTTAGCCTGAGTTCCCTTCTGCAAGACAGAAGTGTGAGCAAAACTCTCCGGACGTCGGCTGTCCTTGCCAGGGCACTTCATTTGGTTCTTTTCATTAACACTTAATCTGCTCTGTAGTCATGGAAGCTAGAGACCCAGAAGGCTGGCAGAGCCACTGTTGCCTCCCGCTGTCCTCCGCTGTCCCACTTGGGTGGGGGCAGGGCCGGCTAGAACGCCCCTAGAATTCTTCATGGAAAGCAAGCCAGGGCCCGAGCAAATGTATATTCAGAAAGAGTTGGCTCAGTGTGGACACCGCCTGTGCCTCCTTGGTGATACAGGAATCTGAGATCGTGAGGTGGGAGGAAGAGAGAAGAAGCTGGGAGGTCTGGACTGGCTTGGGATTATTTGCTGTGCTTGTGGCTGGCAAAGCCCTCTCTGCCGCCAGCATGAGGCTGGTAAATACCCCGGCTGATTCATTAGTGTCTCACCATCTGCTTCCCAGGGGCTGGGGCAGAGGGCTGGCAGGCCCTGCAGGCTGGGCAGCATGGATCCTTAATCAAACTGGAGTCCCCAGCCCCTGGCAGAGCCTTTGTGTCCATCTTCTGAGTGATAAGAGGTCAGGAGCAGTCAATGGCTTTGAGGGACGCTGTGTCCCCCACCTTCTAGCCCAAGGACCAGTAGCAGGCTGGGGGTAGGTAAGGCAGGGGTCTGGAAAGGGATCCAGGAAAAAGGTGGAATATGGTGACTCACAATAACTGGGCTGGGGGATGTGTGTGTGACAAGAATATTGACAGTCACTCTAAGATGGCTGGACATTAATAAATTTATCAGGGGACCTGGTGGCCGAGGACAGGACAGGTTTTTGGAGGTAACTGAGGTAGAGTAAAAAAAAAAAAAAATTATAGAAGAGGCCCAAAGAATGTCCCTGAGGACACCCTGGAAAACCCAGGGTCAGCAACATGCCTTCCACTTGGCTCACTGGGTTGAACCTGCCAGGAGCTGACATCTTCAGCAAAAACATTTACTGTCTCACGGGTTCAAGATCAAGGTGCCACAGGTGTGCCTCCTCCTGCAACCGCACTCCTTATAATGCGTGTGGTCACCTCCATCTGTGTCTCATGACCCTTCCTCCATGTGTGTGAGCATATGGCCCTGGGCTTTCTGTGAGTGCCCCTTTGCTCTGCTCATATAGGGGCCTTTTCAGGAGGGCTTCCGTCAACTCTTTGTCTTAAAGACTGTGTCAGAATAGAGATAGCTGCCTTTTGAGGTTACTGTGGGTTAGGCATTAACATATGAATTTGAGGGGACACAGTTGAGGCCCAGATGAGGCACAGGGCAGTAGGAGAAAGGGGTTGGGAGAGCGCCCAGCCTGACTGCACAGCCTGAGCTGTGCACCAGCTCCCTCGTTCATGGACAAACTCTAAGTGCGTGTCTGCCATTCCACTTCCCAGTGCACAAGCCGCACACTCTGCCCTGGACTCGGCTTGTCCTTCATTCTACCTGTAGCAGAGGGTGTAGGGGTGACCTCAGGGTCAGCCAGCAGCAGCCTGCAGCCTTCCCCTGGTCCCTGGGCGTGGCCTCTGCTTGTCATGGAGCCTCTGAGGTCAGTCAGGCTCTTCCCATTCAGGACAAGAGCTCCGCAGGCAAGCTGTGGCTCAGAGTCATCATGACAGTAGCAAGAAGCTCCTCCTTTGTCACTGTGGTTGTAAGCATAGAAGCCTGGAGGAGGAAAGAAGGGGGTGTGGAAAGGAAGAAAACAGAAGGGAGAGAGCAGGGGAGAACAGGGAAGATGAGAAGGAAGGGGAAGGGGTGTGGAGAGGGCTTGCTTTCCTCTCAGAAGCACCTCTATTTCCCCCTGAGAAGGCCTGGGTTTGTCTTACCTTCCCTAGGCCCCTTTTCCCACTCTACTCAGTAAGCTGCTGGACTGGTGAGAAATTTCTTGTACCCCACGGTTTCTGGTCTAGCCATCAGCTGAGCGAGGCAGGTGGGGTGGGCATCACAGGGCACCAAGAACAGAGCTATTTTGGGCAGTCAAATAGCTTTGTGGGTCCCGCCTTAGTGATCCCCTGGGCTAGCTGTCCCCACCGAGCAACCCTAGGCAGCCTGGGCACCAGCCCTGTACTGTGGAGGATCAAAGTGGTTGACTGCAGTGGGGTGGCAGAGGAGGGTAGCATTGTGTCCACCCCCCATCAGGGGCCCCATGGCTCATTAGAGAGTGAGAGGTTTTTTAACTCAGATCCAAGCTACTTTGTCTCTGCACAGACACCTGAAATATTCATCAAAGTGGCTGTGTGGACTGGAGTAGGGCGAGGCTGACAGCGGCAGGGTTTGTTGTGTGTTAATTAATAGGCCTACCATCTAGAGCAGTTATGGGTTTACAGAACGCAGAGCAGAAAGTGCAGAATACCTCAGAGCCAGCTTTCTGCCCACCCCACCCCTGTTGTCTTAATTATCATGCACCCTGCATCCAGGGCTTGGTGATGGCTAACAATGTCTAGGTACAGCACAAGCACACCGTAGGCCCTTCCCAGGGACCGGCATCTACTTCCTGATAGGCTCTCTTCCTTTGCAGGAGAACCCCTACCTGTGCAGTAATGAGTGTGACGCCTCCAACCCCGACCTGGCCCACCCACCCCGGCTTATGTTTGACAGGGAAGATGAGGGACTGGCCACCTACTGGCAAAGCGTCACGTGGAGTCGCTACCCCAGTCCACTGGAGGCCAACATTACACTCTCATGGAACAAGAGCGTGGAGCTGACAGACGACGTGGTAATGACTTTTGAGTATGGCCGGCCCACGGTCATGGTCCTCGAGAAGTCCCTGGACAATGGCCGCACCTGGCAGCCCTACCAGTTCTATGCAGAGGACTGCATGGAGGCCTTTGGCATGTCCGCCCGCCGGGCCCGAGACATGTCACCCTCCAGTGCCCACCGGGTGCTCTGCACGGAGGAGTACTCACGCTGGGCAGGGTCCAAGAAAGAGAAGCATGTGCGCTTTGAGGTAAGGGACCGCTTCGCCATCTTTGCCGGCCCTGACCTGCGCAACATGGACAACCTCTACACGAGGCTGGAGAGCGCCAAGGGCCTCAAGGAGTTCTTCACATTCACTGACCTACGCATGCGGCTGCTGCGCCCTGCACTGGGTGGCACCTACGTGCAGCGAGAAAACCTCTACAAGTACTTCTACGCCATCTCCAACATAGAAGTCATCGGCAGGTAAGGCCCGGGGCCACTGGGATGTCAAGTGGGATGGAGCTGTTTCCTGGAGTGTTGTCACCTGGTACCTGGAAGTCACCTGTTTCTAGGGATACCTGGTTTTGAGGAATATTATGTGATATTCGAAATGTCACCTGGTTCTAGAGATGTCACCTTTTATCTGGATGTCACCTGGCTCTAAGAATGTTCCCTATTTCCTGGGGGTGTTATCTGACATCTGGGATGCCACCTGGCACCTGGATGTCACCTGGGTACCTAGAGATCACCTCATTCCTGGGATGCCACCTGGCACCTGGATGTCTCCTGATACCTGGATTGTCACTTGATTCCTGGAATGTTTGTGTCAACCTGATACCTAGATACTACCTTGTTCTCAAGATGCCACCTCGTTTCAAGAAAGTCACCTGCCTTCGATGTCACCTGGTGCTACATCAAGGGACTGCCTGTGCAGTCAAGATACCCAAGTTTTGCCAGGGGGAGCGTGGGTGCTGGATGCCTGGAAGGGCAGAAGGTTCTGCAGCGTCTGGAGAGTTTGTTGATGAATAGATGGTGTGCGGGCTTTGTGAGAGGTCCTTATTCCCAAGCCACCTGTAGAACGGGGAAGCTGAATATGCTCCCTTCTGGACCTTGGGGTGCTTACATGAGTCAGACTTGGCAGAGGGCTCACAGCCATGCCCAACATGAAACACGCGCTTCTTAAAAATGGAATAAAATGAGTACTAGCTAAAGGAATGGCACCAGAGGGCTGGAGCAGGCTGACAGGGCAGTGTGGGGCCTGGGGGTGTTGAGGCATAACAGGGACAAAACGAGCCCCTGGAGCCCCACTGGGGCCTTTCTATGTCTCTCCATAGCAGGCTGTGTGCTGCCCGACACGGGGGAAAAGCCACTAGCCAGCCCTTGTGTCTGATTTTGGTGGTTTTTCTTATTGCTGTTATTTTTGGTTTTGGTTTTGGTTTTTTGAGAAATTTACACACATGGACTGTTCTTCCCCTTTTTGCTCCGCACCCCGTGCCACCTTAGGGTGTGGGGGTGTGGAGTGGGGAGAGCCCAGAGCCAGCCGCCTCCCCTCACCTGGAGTGTGTGGCCCCAAGGGATGGGGCAGCGCTCTTTACTGCAGCTTGCATCTGCATTTCCTTTGTGTTGATGCTGTGTGGATCCAGGGATGGAGACAGAGGTGAGCCAGTCAGGCCTCGGAGTTCAAAACTGGCAGCAGGACACTTGCGGCGTGTGCTGTGGGTACCTGTTCCCACTTGGAACAGCTCATTTCAGATGTGGAATGTGCTGGAAGCCATCTGAAACATGGCCACTGTCTTCATTTCTTTTCCTGTTACTGTGATAAATGTCCTAAGAAGGAGCTGGAGAGATGGTTCAGCAGTTAAGCACACGTGTGGCTCTTGCAAGAGGACCCAGGTTTGGTTCCCAGCACAGTGACTCACAACCACCCATAACTCCAGTTCCAGGGGATCTGGTGCCCTCTTCTGATCTCCACGGACGTGGAGGCAAAGCATCTATACACGTAAAAATAAATAAATCTGAAAAGATTTTAAAATACTCTGACAAAAGCAACCTAAGGAAGAAAGAGTTTATCTGGGCTCAAAGGAGAGCCCATCATGGTGGAGAGGTCAAGGCTGTGTGTCAGTGACTCTCAGCCTTCTAACGCTGCGATCCTTCAATACAGTTCCCCCTGTTGTGGTGGCCCCCAACCACAAAATTATTTTCCTTGCTACTTCATAACTGTGATCTTGCTGCTGTTATGAATCACGATGTAAATAAATATCTGTCTTTTCTGCTGGTCTTGGTGACCCTGTGGAAAGGTTGTTCGGCCCCTAAAGGGGTCGTGACCCACAGGTTGTGAACCACTGCTGTATCTTATGACCCCCGGTTGGGGGCTCCTTGCCAAGAGCAATGAGTACAGGCTGCCCCTCAACAACCCTTCTCCACTCACACAGTCTAGGAACCCAGGCAAGGAGTGGTTGTCACTCATGCTTGTCAGCCAGCTCGAGTGACAAAACCAAGACAATTCCCACAGGTGGCCATGGTGGCAAACACCTAGCACTCAGGAGGCAAAGGCAGGTGGGTCTCTGTAAGGTGGCGGCCAGCCTGGTCTATATAGGGAGTTCCAGGACAGCCAGGGCTACAGAAAGATCTTGTCTTTTTTTGTTTGGTTGGTTTTATTGTTGTTATTGTTGTTTTGTTTTTTGGGTTGTTTTTTGTTGTTGTTTTTGGTTTTTTGGTTTTGTTTTGTATTGTTTTGTTTTTTTGAGACAGGGTTTCTCTGAGTAGCCTTGGCTGTCCTGGACTCACTTTGTAGACCTGACTGGCCTTGAACTCACATAGATCCACCTGCCTCTGCCTCCCTGAGTATTGGAATTAGAGGTGTGTGCCACTGTGCCAACAGAGAGACCTTGTCTTAAAAAACAAAACAGAAAGATAGTTCACACACAGGTATGCCCAGAGGCCTATCACACAGGCAATTCCACAAGTTGTCACGCTGTCGATTAACATTCCAAAAGCACTGTAGTAGGAACCATGGGCCCACACATTTTAGAGCTGAGCATCCAGGTAGGGACCAGGCAGCAGCCAGGTCCCCAGGCCCTCAGGACCCTGGCCTGTTTTTCTGTGTCCACTGCTACAAGGAACCTCCTCTCCTCAGCAGGCTGCGGGCTCCTTCCCGTGAGCGTGGCAATCAGGACAGAGTGACCTTTAGCCCCAGCTGGATAACAGCCATCTCTCTTGTAATGTGAGGTTCAAGCCCCACCCCTCTCTAGTCTTCTCTTTTCCATCTGTGACAAGACTGGGGCCACTGGAAACCACTGTCTCTAAGGCAGGGTGTCAGGGTGGTGAGGTGGCAGGGCAGTTCCAGCACTCCTTTGGCAGCCAGCCTTTGTGGGCACAGGGATTCTCTGTCGTGGTAGCAAAAGTGTGGTAAGCAATTCACAGAATAAGTACTCCTCAGGCGGCTGGTTGGCAGGAAGGCAGCAGCTTGGTTATTGATTAGTTAGGTCTAGTTAGATGGCACAAGGCAAGTTTGGGAGCCAACAGAGGAAGCCCCTGAAGTTCCCAGTGGTCTCAGGTTCTGGGGCTTCCTCACTCCATGGTACCTGCCTCCTCCTGTGACCTGCTGACAAAATAACAGCAAACAAGCCCCACCAAGGAGCTGTTGGTGTGAGAGCCCATAAGCCCAGGTTGGAGCACTGATCAAGCTGCCTTGACCGCCCCCTCTCCCTCACCCCGACCCCGGAACTCCCCTGCAGGGTCAGTGCTGCTCTCTGCTCCTGTCATCTCAGCTGACAGGAGCCAACCAGGATCCTAGTCCAGACTCATCCGAGGTCAAGCAAGCCTCACACAACTTTCTGTAGTGAGGCTCTGGCCTCCTGGACTGCTAGGTTCCCATCCTACCTCTGACCTCATCCCTGTAGGAGTACGTACAAGGCAACGCCCTCACCTCCTCTCCCAAGTGGAGAGTTCTTTGTTCCATTGGTGGTTCCGTGCTCTGCACACGTCAGCAATGACAACTCCAAAGAGGGCCCAGATGGGCAGGAGGGCAGGGTCAGGATGGCAGGGGCGCCTGCTGGGGTCTCAGGGCATAAGGAGCTAATACAAATGGGCACACAGAGTGAGCAGGGCTGCAACAGAAGAATTGCACCGGTAACTAAGAGGGAAATCCAGCCAGCAGCACCCTGGGGGTTCTGCCTTCCTGCAGCCCCGTTCCCAGGGGCCCATTCCTGGAAGGCTGGAAGGAGGTGGGAGCTATTTTCTCCTGCATGTGGGGGAGCTCAGGTACAGAGTCTGGGCAGGAGAGGCTGGCTTTAAACTGCAGGGAATCTGGGCCAAAAGCTGAATTGGAGGAGGAATGAGATCATCCAGGCTCCTGTGGAGCAGGGACACACAGCCTGTCCCAGCAGCCCAAGCTTCACCCTAAATTTCCAGGGGAGTCTTATAAGACCCATCATGAATTGGCTTCTGCCTAGCAGCTGTCAGAGAGGTCCAGAAAGCATTATACTTGCAAAGTCCTTCCAGTGAGCTGGGGAGGGAGAACTCTAGGAAATGAGCTGCCAAATGGAAACCTGCCCGAGCCTCAGTTTCCTCATCTGCAATATGGAGCCAGAGAAATAATCTCTCCAGGGTATAGGCTGTTGATGAAATGATGGCTTTATAGTGTGTCCCCTTCCTTCACTCAGGTGGCAGGAGAGAAGGGAGGCAAGGGCAAGGACAGGGCTGCTGGGTAAGATGTCCTGGTCACACCCAGCCCAGGTCATGGTCCCCAGGCCTGGGAAGCTTCGGGAGACAATGTCATCACAGAAGCAGTAAGGAAGAGGGTAGCCTGTGGAGAAATGCAGCCAGCCAGCCAGCCCCTTGCTTCACAGCAGCAGAATGGGGAAAGACACTCAGCAGACACCTGTGTGAAACCTCTTGCTCTTTAAGAACCAGCATCGCCTTCCAAAGTCTTTGGAAACCCTGTCTGCCTGAAACCAAGGAACCTGCCATACTGGGTCTTTATAAGCCAGGGGCAGAAAAGGAATGGGCTCTCTGCTCAGCATGCTTAGTGCAGGTGTTGGCTGTGTTCTACCCTCTTTTGCCCTGGAGGGGTCCAAAACCTTTGAGAAAGAGGGGACCTGCTTAGTCCCAGGGTCTTTACTGAGCTTGGTGGGCAGCTCTCACTGCGGGCACTGGGCCACACCCACCCTGGACTTCTCCTCCCTTGACCCTGCCCCCTCTTTTGCTTCCTTGTCTTTTTCATAAACCTCCTGTCCCTATTGATCGCCAGTAACTGGAGATGCAGTCACAGGACAAGAATAGAAATGACAGAGAGAAGAAAACCTCTGCCAGAGCAGGCAGGGTGAGGGAGCAGGGAGGGAAGGCGCCTTTCTACTCACCCATGCCTCAGTCCCCCTTGACTCCCCGAAGCAAACACGGGTCAGAAGAGAATCCTGGGAGGCTGCTGACGATGGAGCTGTCCCTCAGCAATAGTGACCATTTCGTACAGAGCAAGTCCCAAA